AAGAATTGATAAACAATATTAATTAAAAATAGTGGATGACATCCCAGAAATCTCAATTTGTTTTTATTTTATTTCATAATTTAGTTATGTAGTATTGTATTTAATTTGTTTTTTCTCTATTTCTATAGATTGAACATGAATGAGAGAGGGCTTTTAGTTAATTAAGGTGAGCATACATGTAATAATATGTACATATAGTATATTTATTTGATATTAACAGATAAAAGAGTTAAGCGTTACTTAGTATTATGTTTACTACTTACTAGGTAGGCTGAATTAATTATATCTGACTAGTCTTTCATTTTACAGGAACATTACAAAAATCTGTGATACCATTTAATTACCAAGCACTGATTGTATTTCATTCTTTCTGGAAAGTAGCTGTGTATATGGTCCTAAAGAAAACAAGAAAGTGCCTTTTCTTTCATTGGGGACAGACAGTGTGTCGTTGCTAAAGAAAGAACTGGTAAGTAACAGTATCAATTAAAAATATTAAATGTGGTGTCAGAAACTTCAATTTCTTAAATACTTACTTTCAGTGGGCTTAGTTTTAGAAATGGCAGAAGCAGATTAGCAAAATTAATGTAAAACTGAGTTTTCCAATAGTTTTAAAAGTTGGCATAATACAATTTATTTATACGTATATTTTAATAAGAGAGTTAGTAGGTATGGGAAGGTGAGTACTAAATATGTAAATTTTCAACATAATAGCTGTTTATTTTGCTTGTTTATGTGTATCTATTATTTTACCCATCACCTGTCTAACTTCACCACCACACTATGACTTTAAAATATTTATACTTGCTTTAAAAGTGGTAATTAATTACTTTTTCTTGTGCGTTTCTATAGATCGTCCAATAAATGAGAACGAATTGCAGTTAATTTTGATGCTAATGAAAGAACTGATGCTTTTAAAATTTCACCTTGCATCATTGGATCAGAGAAGCTGAAGATTAATTTGGAAACCATTAAAATAACTGCAGTGTATTTGGTTTGGTAATCACGTGCAGACTAGAACGCCACATTATGTAGTTAATTAAGGTGAGAATGCATGACAATTAGTATTAATTGCTTATTATTAATCTGTTACCATCCTATCTGTTTCAGATCGACGGTGGAGAAGACAAAGAAGACCCTCGTAGTTAAAATACTTCTCTGTTTTGCATGGTTGTTGTAATTTGTTTTATTTGAATTAATTTTTGATTGTAAATGTTATTATTTTTTGGAGTAGTAGTAGTTATTATTGTATTAACACGTTTAGTTTTTTTGGTAGTGTAGTCTAACCATGTCTCTTGCTTACCTCTTCGCTTAGCTTACTGCATATTCTTACTATAAATTGCTTTGCATTTACCCTAAGTCTTCTACATGATTCAACGTTTCGTTATCGTGTTTCTTTCTTCTCACCCTTGTGGAATTAGGGAGGGCCTCCCCGAACGACTTCCCTTGGGCTTAGCTATTTAGTTGATCTTAAAAGTGTCTTATACACTTTTCGCGAGTCTACTCTAGCGTNGAGCATAGAAAACGCTCTTTGGATGGTGATAATAACACGCCCAAGAAACTACGAATGTCAGATGAACTGCATTCGTCCATAGTAAGTGTTTAAACTTCATTACATTATTTGCTTCATTGTTTTGGTTTAGTAAATGCCTTATTTGGTTTTTGTTAATTAAGTAAAGAAAACGTAAGTAAATAAGTGCAGAGAAAATTAATATTAATGCAGCGTTAAGGTAAGGATAATTTACTTTCCATTTGCTAATTATTACTACGACTCTTAAAATTTTCCTTCAGTTCAACACACTTTTACATATTAACGTTGTTTAAGAAATTTAACATCCTTAGTAGCTTAAGATATTAAAAAACTATTCGTTTCTATCTTGTGTATTGTAGAGATCAAAGCAAAATGTGGTCAATTACTCAAAAGCAAGAGAATGAAAAGAAACAGAGAAATGAACAAAATAAATCAACATTTGGGATGACCTCGGCTATTTCCATGGCTCTGCCAAAACCGTCTGATATTACAAAGACAGCAGAACTTGAGGAAGCACTTAAACCATTTGATGTCTTTGAAACAGACCAAGAATTAAACCATCGTATGGTTGTTTTAGGAAAATTATATTCGTTAGTTAAACAATGGATTAAAGATTTATCTATTGCTAGAAATATGCCAGAAAGTGTTGCTGAAAACGTGGGTGGAAAAATATATACTTTTGGGAGTTATAGGCTAGGGGTAAGTTATTTAATACACTTAATGTTAACTGCATTAATTTGCACTTGATTCCTTTGAAATGCTTAAAAAAATATTTGAAATCAGTTTCGTACCTAAGTAAGTACCTATTTAAATTATAAACTTGTATTTAACTGTGGTACTAACATAAGTTAATTTAATTGTTAATTTTAAAACAATAAACAAGAAAAATTGTATTACATTGGCTTAGCTTGAATAATACTTGTTGTATACATATTTAATTTAAATTTTAACGGTGTGTATCTGCAGGTTCATAATAGAGGAGCAGATATAGATGCATTATGTGTAGCACCTAGACACATACATCGAAGTGATTATTTTTCATCATTTTTTGAGTTACTTAAACAACAACCAGAAGTTAAGGAACTACGGGTAACTTTATTCAATTTATTTGTTATTCTAGTTTTTAATGTGATTTATTATTTATTTAACAAAATTTATGGCAGCAGCATAGCTGATTTCCTCATCTATTAAAGGTGCCATGTCTTTGTATCAAATATGACTGAATCTGAATCTTATTGAAAATTGCCATACTTATATCTTAATCCACATACCAAAGGATTTTTGTCCAGTTTTTGACTTTTTAGTTTGGTTAATATTAAAGACTTCAACAATTTAATTTTTGTAGCTTAGTGTCACTTATTTATAATTGGCTGTATGTACACTAATCATAAAACTGTTGTAGTTTTATCAAAATCGAAAATGTTCGATCCCCAAATGAAGATTTCATATGGAATGGTTTTTGTACTTACTTTAGAAACGCTACATTTACAATACTAGTTAAATCCAGAGTGTTTCACTTTTCTTTTCAATATTTTTATGTATTGAAATTAATTTTAGTCTTTGATAATAGCAATAATTATTTCCTGAATTGTTGAGTGTGAATCACCCTTTTATAATAAGTATTTTATGTACTTCGTTAAATATTTTCTGTTTGTTTATAATATCGTTGTTTTGAGAATTAAGAATTTGCCTCATTAATTTTTTTTTCTTTTAATTTTTGGATAAATAAAGCAATAATTTTTGTGTGATTCACTCTATATACTAATTAAAGATAATTTTCATTATATTTATTATTCAATAAATTTTCAGGCTGTAGAAGAAGCATTTGTGCCTGTAATCAAAATGAATTTTGACGGTATTGAGATAGATATGCTATTTGCGCGTTTACTTTTAAAAGAAATACCAGACGGTATGGACTTGCAGGATGACTTTCTGTTGAAAAACTTGGACCCGAAATGTGTCCGTAGTTTGAACGGGTGTAGAGTGACTGATGAAATATTAAGATTGGTCCCTAACATTGATAATTTTAGATTAGCGTTACGAACAATTAAACTGTGGGCTAAGCGTAAGTGTCTTAATTTTATGCTTTTATGTTTATTTGCAATAACCTTTTTGTGTTTCAGGTCATGGTATTTATAATAATGCCTTGGGTTATTTGGGTGGAGTGTCTTGGGCTATGTTAGTAGCTAGGACTTGTCAACTATATCCAAACGCAGCACCCGCTACTTTAGTTCATAAGTTCTTCTTGGTGTTTTCGCAGTGGAAGTGGCCTCAGCCTGTTCTCTTAAAGCAGCCCTTTAACGTAAATCTCGGATTTCCCGTTTGGGACCCGAGGGTAAGTTTTTATAATTCATTTGTCTTTCAATGTTAAATCAATTATTATTATTGAACTATTGGTATCTTGTTTATCATTTTGCTGAATTCATAGAAAATATATGGCTGATCTGCAGCAAAAATTTTAAAAGACGTATGCTTTTTTTTGCTTAGGTTAATATTCAAGACCGTTATCATCTAATGCCTATAATAACTCCCGCGTATCCTCAACAAAACTCAACATACAACGTTTCGACCTCAACACGCGCCGTAATGATCGAGGAGTTTAAGTCAGGCCTGCTCCTTACAGACGAGATAATGCTGGGAAAGCAATCTTGGGAGAAGCTCTTCGAAACACCTGCATTTTTCATGAAATACAAACATTTCATCGTCCTTCTTGTGAGCGCTGCCACTGCTGAAGACCACCTAGAATGGTGTGGACTGGTTGAAAGCAAAGTTAGATTATTAATTGGTAAGTTATAAAACAAGCATACTTTTATTTTTTAAAGTATTTATCATTTTTTTAACACTGATTGCAATATGTATTAGATTAATGTAGTCACTATTTGAATTTCATTTTCAGTAACTTTAGAACGAAACCAACACATAACAATGGCTCATATTAACCCAGAAAGTTACAGTCAAATAGATTCACAAAAGGACTCGAGTCAACACTGTTCCTTGTGGTTTATTGGTTTGGAGTTTTCCAAAACAGAAAATTTAAATGTCGACCTCACTTATGATATTCACCAGTTCACTGAAACCGTTTTGAGACAAGGGTTAAAAATGCTCAAGGATGGAATGAAACTAGAAGCTAGGCATGTAAGAAGAAAACAACTGCATCAATATTTGTCTCCCAGTCTGTTGAAAAGGGAAAGGAAATTGTCCACAAATAGTTCTCTTAGAAATGGGACAGAGCATAGAAAACGCTCTTTGGATGGTGATAATAACACGCCCAAGAAACTACGAATGTCAGATGAACTGCATTCGTCCATAGTAAGTGTTTAAACTTCATTACATTATTTGCTTCATTGTTTTGGTTTAGTAAATGCCTTATTTGGTTTTTGTTAATTAATTTATTGTTTTTCTTGATTTTCTTTTGAAAAAGAAAATAATTTAGAAACTTCAACTTACGTATGTTTTTACCAAATCAGTATAATCAACGTTCATATAGGAGAAACCAACTGCTAATTTGTGATTGCTCTTTTAATTTTTCATCTCACAGTTTGAAGATAATTCAAATGCCTCCATCATGTGTACTGACGATTCTAATAGTAACACAAGTACGTCGGAAGAAAGCCTAAAGAATGTACCTCATCCAACTGATAGCCCACCAGCTCAAACATTATGCACTTGATATCAGCATACAGCGAAGAATGCCATTCTTGGTTAATGGTAATTTAAAATAATTTCTTTAGAAACTCTAACAAGTTTAAAGAACTTCGAATAGATTTTAATTTTCAAAAGAAAATTTACACTTTCTTTAACATTAACATTGAATTTCTAATCGAAACATTCTAACTAGAGCTCCTTTATTGATTTTGCTTAAAACTGCCCTGCACTTTCACTATTAGATTGATTTCATTGTTCGGTATATATTTTGACTTGTCTATATTTGGACACTATTGCGTTTGAGGTTTATTAATTTGAAGAATTTTAGTTCTTTTTCAGGTGAAAACTCGACCACAGCACACACATAAACAACAAAAAACACATCAGGATTATGTACGAACGTACGTATAAAATTTAGTTGAAGGTTTAATTTTGCGATACGACTACAAAAAGTTAATTGTAAAATATTATCGCAAAAGTGCAATAATAATGCTGATGATTTTGAACCGTTTTCTGAGTGCTTTGTATAAATATTTATTATCAGAGCAATGTTTTATTTAATTTTCGATATTGAAGGATAGTTATTGAGAAAAAGAAAGTTGATGGATTCAATGGTCTCGAAAAAAGTAAAAATCTATTTTTGTATAAAAAAATAGTATGGTGGTATGTGTGTTATTAAAATAACTATGAAAATTGTGNGTTTGAGGTTGCATGTCTTAAAAAATACACAAAGATTATTCAATAAAAAAGCTAATAAAATTGAAATATATTTATTAATTACACAAATTACAACATATTTATTTCAAGTACAACTATAATACATAATATATACAACGTATTAAATAATTAACAGTTTCTAAGGACTTACAAAAGTGAACATAATTACAAAACCAGGAAATTAATAAACAGTTTACAGAGTAAAAAGAAACATACCTGTAAGAGAAAGAAAACAAATCACATTCATATGCAATAAAAAATCTTATATTACTTACGAACTGTTATATTACCCTTTAAACACAAGATTAAGGAGAAAAAAGTCTCCCTATCCCTCTGTGGCCTCCGCATCTCCCCTTATAGCCACCCTATCCACCCAAATTAATTTTAATTGTGAAAGCCTTAACAAATATTTAATCTAACATTTATACCAGAAGATCAATTTAGAAACATTTTAACTATCCTTCTAAGTTACAATTACATAATATAACATTCTACCCTGTCGTATCATTTTTCTTGGACTGTGGACATTGGCCTGCTGTTAACATCTTCATTTTGCAACATTATGCAATTAATCTTCGGCGAATGATTGAGAGAGCACTTTGAAGTTGATTTGGATCCCAAATTGTCTGCAGTGGCATCATTCTTCGTGGATCTGCATTACTGTTTGCAGTTGTTGACTTTGGCACATTGTAGTTAATTAAGGTGAGAATATATAACATAATTAACATTACTTTCTCATTATTAATCTGTTACCACCCTATCTGTTTCAGATCGTCGGTGGAGAAGATATAGAAGACCCCGTAGTTAAAATACTTCTATATCTTGCATGTTCTATTAGCCGTAGTTAAAATACTTCTCTATTTTGCATGTTTTTTGTAGTTTATTTTATTTGAATTAACTTTTTTTGCATGCTGATTTTAGTTTATTTTTTTTTAATTAATTTTTGATTGTAGATATTGTTATTGTTTTTTTTTTCAGTAGAACAGTTTAATTAAAATCTCTTCGTTATCCATCACTGAACTGTTAGATTGTGTCTAAAGTATAGGTAAACAGTAGGATTATTTCTTCAGTTCAACTAATTAATAAATGAAGAACTTATCCCTNATCGAACCCGATAAACAATATCGATCCAATATTTTAGATTATCCATTTCCAAGGAGTTTAGAATTTTTTGGGCTCTCTTCAGTTAAAGAATGCAAGATAAAAATAGGTATTTTTTTTTTTGTATTTGCATTTTAAATGCAAGTATTCCAAATAAATCACATCTCTGTGAGTAAGTTACAAAAAGTCAATTCAATTTACGAAATGCCTTGAGCGAATTGCGAAAAAATCTATATTGGTAAAACTAAGAGACTCCTTTATGAAAGGATCCGTGAGCACAAAAACGACCATAAAAATCAAATCTTAATAGCCCCTTCATACAAAACCGCGCTTATTAAGCACTCTGTGAGAACTGGGCACAAGCCCAATTTTGACAATTCCAGCATTTTATAAATTGAGAAAAACTATTTCAAACGCTTATTCTTAGAAGCATCTTTTATTCTAATACAAGGGGAAAAAGCTATGAATTCTCAACCAGACTTGGAAAACAAATTTGCAGCGAATAATTATTTCAACATCTACAATAAATTCAAAAACAATAAAAACATACAATTAAAAATTACTTAAAGATAAAATCAAATTAACTAACTACTATATTTCTATCTATGCTAAATTAATTCTGTAATATTGTATATACTCTTAGAATAGAACTTTTTATCTAACCGTCTATACATACTGTATTATAAGTCCTGTTCTATCCTACTGTACCATGCACGTAGTGTTTAGAATTATTTTAAGTATTTATTAAGTATAATATTCATTATTTTATTTATACATATGTGTTTTGTAGTATTAAGTGTTTTTTTTGGGGACTCATGTACCTCAAGCAATACATTGTGACTTAAAAAGCCTAGTAATATGTTCACATTAATTAGGCACTTGTCCTATTATTTCTTAACACTGTCACAGGCTTTAAACAGTCTCAAGTTAGAGACAAAACGTCAGTGCTGGTTTTATTATAATAAATCCTTTTTGCTCCTGATCAGCTCTGGTTATTTTACTATTAGTACTAATTCTTTCCCCCCCATTAGTCATTGCTTCAAGTGGTCGAAATTCACTTTTTTGAACAATATTATGACGTAGTGTCGGCCATCATTCTTTTCTAATTGTTGCTGTTGACGGCCATCATTCTTTTCTAATTGTTGCCGTTGTCGGCCATCATTCTTTTTAATTGTTGCTGTTGTCGGCCATCATTCTTTTTCAATTGTTGTCGCATTGTTACNAAACTAATTCAAATAAAATGAACTGCAAAAACCATGCAAAATAAAAAATTAATTTGAATAAAATCAACTTAATGAATTCTACTAGATAGAGCATGCAAGATAAAGAACTATTTCAACTATGGGGTCATCTTTGTCTTCTCCAACGTTGATCTGAAACAGATACGGTAGCAAATAGATTAATAAAGAGCAATTAAAATGAATTATATTAATTATTCTCACCTTAATTAATTGTAGAACGTAACGTTCCAAAGTTTACAGGTGTGAAAACTAAACCAACTCCAGAAGGAACACCATAGCAGAGAATTTGTTATTTCAGTGGAATTCAAATAAGTATTCAGTTGCTCTCACTCGTGGGTTGAAGATTAACTGCATTATGTTAAAAGGCGAAGACGAAACAGCAAATCATGAATATAATCCACGAAAGACAACGCCCATGTAGACATTGGCTGTTTCAGTATAACCAAACTGAATATTAATTCTCTCTCATTCGTTGTATAACCTGCAGAAATGGACAAAAAGACATATTAATCACACTTATAATTAAGAACCACTATTAACACAAATAAAAACGCACCAAAAAGCAAGTAAAATAGTTAAATTATAAAATAACAAACAACTTTACGCCATTTTTACATCAGAATCATAGATCACGACATAGTTAAGTGTCAAATATCACGACTTCAATTTACGAAGCAGACAATAGAAAAAGGTTAAAAAGAAACTCCATATATCAATGATAAATCTCATTTCCTTCTGTGGAAAATAAAAACTGTCAAAGAGATATAAATGCACAATAACCTTAATTTATACTGTTTACAATAATAAAGAGCAATTAATATTAATGAAGTCGTGTATTCTCACCTTAATTAATTGTAGAAAGTGGCGTTCTAAAGTCTACCAGTGTGATGAGCAAACCAAATCTAGGAGGGATACCACTGCAGACAATTTGTTGTTCCAGTTGCTTCCAAATTAATTAATTTCCAATTGCCTCCCATTGTTACGGCAAAAATTAACTGCATAATTTTGCAAGGTGAAGACGTCAAAAACATCGGTTGCTTCAGTAGTATCAAAATTAACTGCAATTGCCTCTCATTTGTGGGACAATCTATATAGAAACAGACAAGAAAAAGTAATTAATTACCACTTTTAAAGAAACTAAAACAGTAATATTTTCATCTGGCAATATAGTGATAAAGTTAAAAAACTTTCACATTGATGGAAAAGTCAGTTCCACAATAACTCTGCTTTTTCCATTTCTGAAAAGTTGTCTAAGAAAACAAGTTCCTAGGACCCTCATTTACTAATTTTAATTGATACCGTTACATACCAGTTTATTGTCATAAATCCCTCCCTCAGCAACACACTTCTTCAGCACATTGTCTCTGTTCCCAATGGAAAAAGGCACTTTCATGCTTTCTTTATGACCAGAGGAACAGTCACTTTTTGGAGTCAGTGAGAACCGACACAATCAATGCTCCACAATTTAATGGCATCTGGAGTTCTTCTAACTTCCCTGTAAAATCAAATTTTATGAAAAAGTATTCAAATAGGTACAATAAATTTAGCCTCCATACTCTAGAGTGTATAAATAAATTGTTGAAGTAACGCCGTACCCTTTTGTTTTTTAATATAAAACAAATACACTACATATATAATAATAAAAATGAAAACGTCTTAATCCACGTTACAACATCGTAAAAAGTCGTATATTTTATATAAATTAAACAAAATCTGATAAAATCATCAAGACTTTTACCAATAAAAATTAAAAAAAAAAAACGTGCTTAGTATTCTCGGAAGATACTGTAAAAACACTACCAATAAAATTAATTTGAAAAAACCAATACGCACATCGCAATCCGCAATAGGTGTTACTAAGATTTCGACAATTCCACGAGTTCAAGCAGAAATTTTTACACTAGAATTTTAATAATTTCTTACTTACAAAGACGAATCTACCATTCGGCCATATGCAACTGATGAAAATCATAGATTAGATGAAAATCATTGAAATCATATTACAACGGTGACCATAGATAAATGACAACGAAGCGTCACATTGCAATTTATACCTATAATTGCTGGTCTATGATATAAACCATAAAATGTCTAAAGAAACAACCATAGATGCTCGATACCGTTAATTTGTGCTATGGATAAATAGGGTGCATTCAATGAGGCAGACATATAAATGAAAAGAAAAACAACAAATAAACTGTGTAGAATCGTTAAACAAAATTAAAGTATTATATATTTAACATTTAACACATTTTACTATCTGAAACCCAAAACACAAAATGAGAAGTTAGAAAAAAGAAACCATTTCTATTCTCGTTTCGTTGCTTTTCAAAAAGTCATACGTAATTATAAGCCTCACCCGTTTTACATACTTTAAACTTTTCTATTTTAGTATACGAGTATACCTCGTATTAATCCACTTTTCTTTAGTTTCCCTATGCTTCCTAATTATTTCCCACTTTATCACTATATATCTTTTTTGACCTTCATTTGTCCTGTTTTTGTATGTTTTTCTGCCTTTGGTCTTTTAGCCCTGCAATCTCGTTTGTTATCCAGGGTTCCCTACTTTCGTTTTCTTTTCTCCCTTAGTATTTCGACATTGCACCTAGCCTATCGCTCGTTTCATTTAAATCTTGGAGTTTTATAAGTCAAAAGGTCTCCTACCTTCACTCTTCTTTAGAATTTTGAATAGGAGATTGGTCTTCATAAGTTCTACGTTATGATAGCTTTCTATATCTGCTCCTGGATAACTCCTACAGTCCTTCAAATAATTAACAAGTATGTAATCTAAATGATATTTCTCTAAATCATTTGACATCTTCCATGTATAGCGCCTCCTAATGTGGTGATCAAATAAAGTATTTGCTACGATTAAGTTGTGTTTATCGCAAAATTCAGTCTGTCTCTCCTATCATTTCTATTGCCTAATCCAAAAGAACCTATTATTGCACATTTTTTACTTTCATCTATTACTGCGTTGAAGTCTGCTACAACTATTAGGTTTTCCTGCCCTATCATTAACTTTAACACATCTCCTGTGCTCGCTTCTACGACTTCGTCATTGTAAGATGTTGTAGACATATAGATCTGCACTATTAGGGTTTTACCGATTTCGAGTTTAATTTAACGACAACTATTGTAACCCTTTTTTGTAAATAACTTTCTACACTCTGCCCTGCTTTCCTACGCATTCAATTCCTGCCCCCGAATTACCTTCCGCCAATCCTGTATGTATTATTCTAAACTCTCCACTATAGAAGTCCCAAGCTTCTGGCCAATGGGCTTCACTAATGTCTGCCATATCTAATTCTAGTCTTTTCATCTCAACTTTCAAAATTCATAACTTCCCTACTTGCCTCATGGTTCTAACATTCTAAGCTCGGACTCGTGAAATATTGCATCTTGCCCTATTGCACTTGATGACATCCCTTGAGGTAGTCCCCGCCCGGACATTCGAATGGGGGACTAGTTTACGTCTGAAGTAGTAGGTAACTAAACAACTGTTGAATAAAATGTTGTAGAAAAAAACAGTACAAACGAAATTACGATTTAACCTTACAGGAACAAGAACGAGGTTGGCTATAAAATGAAGAAAAATTATTGAATGTTATTAATATTCAAATTTAATGAAGAAATGAATGCAATTTTCGATGTAGTTGGTCTTTTAGTGAATTTATAGTTATGGAGTTTTCGTCAATGTTGACGCATCAATGATACTAAAGGGATTCATAAAGTCATTACTGTTAATTTTAAAGTTAGTTTTACTCCAAAAAGTTGTAAGCAACTAATTGGTGTCTCGTTCAACCAGTCTGTAAGTATAATTTGATTTGGTAAAGCTGTTAAAAATTATAAGTGAAATAAAATAGGCGCTAATCGTAAATGCTAAAAATCAAATCAAAAGCGATTTCTGAAACTGTGAAAAATTAGTAACTTTTAACAATGCAAAAGTAACTTTTTTCACACTGTAACTGATCAGAACCAAAATAGAGTTGCAAATAATTTTATTGAAATAAAATCACTATCAATCATTTCATATGAATATATTTACAACCCCATTTTGTTTTTGATTTTTTACACATTGTAATAAAAGAAAGAAATGTAATCTATAATTTTTTTTGTTCATCTAATAAGTGGAGTGTTGCGAATCGTTTTCTAAGAATGTTGAATTACATGCATTTATTAGCACACCACAATATCTCAGTTTTCAGTTTTACACAGCTGGCGTATATCAATTCGATATTGTTTTGCGGGCTGTTTTGTCCTAGTTCATAGAATTTCGTAGTTTCCTGCTAAACGTACGATAAGTGGTGATTTGGCAGGTGCTGATATTAATGTGGAACTTCAAAATTCCATGGACTATGACATTGAACCCGGAAAACAACATCGATCCTATATTTTACATTATCCATTTCCAGGAGTTTAGAATTTTTTGGGCTCTCTTCAGTTAAAGAATGCAAGATAAAAATAGGTATTTTTTTTTTTGTATTTGCATTTTAAATGCAAGTATTCCAAATAAATCACATCTCTGTGAGTAAGTTACAAAAAGTCAATTCAATTTACGAAATGCCTTGAGCGAATTGCGAAAAAATCTATATTGGTAAAACTAAGAGACTCCTTTATGAAAGGATCCGTGAGCACAAAAACGACCATAAAAATCAAATCTTAATAGCCCCTTCATACAAAACCGCGCTTATTAAGCACTCTGTGAGAACTGGGCACAAGCCCAATTTTGACAATTCCAGCATTTTATAAATTGAGAAAAACTATTTCAAACGCTTATTCTTAGAAGCATCTTTTATTCTAATACAAGGGGAAAAAGCTATGAATTCTCAACCAGACTTGGAAAACAAATTTGCAGCGAATAATTATTTCAACATCTACAATAAATTCAAAAACAATAAAAACATACAATTAAAAATTACTTAAAGATAAAATCAAATTAACTAACTACTATATTTCTATCTATGCTAAATTAATTCTGTAATATTGTATATACTCTTAGAATAGAACTTTTTATCTAACCGTCTATACATACTGTATTATAAGTCCTGTTCTATCCTACTGTACCATGCACGTAGTGTTTAGAATTATTTTAAGTATTTATTAAGTATAATATTCATTATTTTATTTATACATATGTGTTTTGTAGTATTAAGTGTTTTTTTTGGGGACTCATGTACCTCAAGCAATACATTGTGACTTAAAAAGCCTAGTAATATGTTCACATTAATTAGGCACTTGTCCTATTATTTCTTAACACTGTCACAGGCTTTAAACAGTCTCAAGTTAGAGACAAAACGTCAGTGCTGGTTTTATTATAATAAATCCTTTTTGCTCCTGATCAGCTCTGGTTATTTTACTATTAGTACTAATTCTTTCCCCCCCATTAGTCATTGCTTCAAGTGGTCGAAATTCACTTTTTTGAACAATATTATGACGTAGTGTCGGCCATCATTCTTTTCTAATTGTTGCTGTTGACGGCCATCATTCTTTTCTAATTGTTGCCGTTGTCGGCCATCATTCTTTTTAATTGTTGCTGTTGTCGGCCATCATTCTTTTTCAATTGTTGTCGCATTGTTACTAATGTCGGCCATTATGGTTTTTTAATAGATGTAATAGTAATCAATGATTAAAATTTAAAGGAATTGTTTGTAATAGCTGATACTGACTTTCATTTACATAATAGCACTTTGCTTGTGCTAACAGTACTCATAATTTTCTATATAGTACCTATATAACATAGTTTGTACTTGCTTCTTAGTAAACATCACTAAATTGTTTTATTTTCTGGGAATAACAACAGCAAGGCATTTCTATTATATGACTTTCACTTTCAGTGAAAATACGTCCTAAATTCTTTGGTAATTATGCGCTAATTCAAAAAATGTCATAGGTACAGTTAATCATAATAATTTGTAACTTTTTAAATTTAGTTTTACCTGATGGGTTTTACCATTAATCTAATACTGTTGATGAACAGTTACTTTTTTTGTTTGTTATGATGATTTTGGATGGAATCACGAATTTTTGCAAAAAAATAGTATCTGGCTAGACAGTTTCATAAGCAAACATCGGATCGTATGTATGTGATGAGTGTAGTAGTATGTAGGCATTCCGAGTATCATCTGACTAATTGTAAATTCAAAAGCATGCGTAAAATTGTTATATCCAAAAACATCATCATAAACAAACGAATAAAGGCGTATATGTACCCTGTGAACTGTAACAGGGAATCTTTTTCGAAAAGTTTTCGAGTTTCTGGTAGCGTTACCTCTAATTCTTTTTTCGCGCTATTCGCTCTATTTATTTCTAAAAAGCGGAAATGTATGCAGTGAACAACCTAATTTAATTAGAAGTTTATACCCAGAAATTAACATCTTGGTAATTCAATTGCGTTTACACTGAGCACGGGTTAAAATTAGGTTTACGGTAGGCAATAATTGCGTGTAGTTAGTTCCCTAACTACCGTAACAACAGGATAGTTTTGAGATATCGGTTGAAAGGTTTGCCACGTTAATAACTAACTCATGTAAAATAAGGAATAATCTATACAAATGTAGCTATATCTGCCTGCAATATCGAAGAAACTGTATTTTGTGGATTCGTATGGTTATTTGTATGCTGTTATTGTTTTTTTATCTAAAATTTTTATTATGATACTGGATCCTAATCAGGCAATTTTATATGTGGTCTATTTTGAAGATACGTCTTGTACAATTTACTGAAAAAAGTTAGTTTTCCACAAAAATAGTAAATACATACGTAACTGACTGTACAAAGCACATCTGTGAATATTAATATGATGAATAATTAAAAAATTTTAATCTTTACATTTGAGTTTTCATATTTAGCGTTTATTTTGTTTCATTGCTAATATTAGTTATGTAAGGGTTGGATTTGCCAAAAGGCTGTCTAAATAACGGCTTAAAGGCGGCAGAGGTCTAGAGGCGGCAGGGACCTAGGGGCGGCAGATTTTAGAGTCAATGGAAAAACCCAATTTTTCGTGCAACATTACCTCAATGATAAGTTTGTATAGGCTTTCGCAACTGGCGTCTAATGTGTGTTGCGTTTTAGTTTTCGGACTTTGTGATCTCACCACCGAACGATCTACGAGAAAACTACCACGCTGGCGTTGAGAATGCCTGCCGCAGTTGCAGACGAAACGTTGGGAAGTACTTTTCAAAGACAACAGTCAGAAAATCCGGAAACTAAAACGCATTATCTTAATGATTTATAAATAAA